TATAGATAATTTTTGTGTGAAATATGACTACCGGTAATATGAAATATGACTATAAAAATATAGTTATTTTGATTCACCCAGAAAAATGAATCAATATATGATATTTGTAATCCTATTAAATAAGGAACACAGTCACTGCACAGCAAACTGTCAAAGTCATGATTTTATAAACAGAAAAGAATCAACCCTCGGTTAGTTTGAGACGACACCAAGAACGAAGCACACGGTCGATGCGTAACACAATAACCCCCTTCAGGAATGTGTTCAATCCCTGACTTTTTAAGGAGCTCACAAACAAAGCCAAACTCTCCAGCTCAAAGTGTCTTGTGCCCTTTTTGGGCTCTGAAACCTTCACGGCTACATCAGCGTCGGCTCCAACCCTCCAAAACACTTACATCTGTGAACATTTCTGTGAGCATTTCTCGCAGTGAAACGACCCAAGCTGACGCAATACGGGGAGGGGGAGACTTCCTCTACACACACACACACACACACACACACACACACACACAGACGGTTCACAGTGTTCTGAGAGAAGAGTTCACAGGATGTAGAAGGCAACTAACCCTATTGTGTGAAACCCAGAAGGACATGCTGTTCTTAAACTGCACTGACGTCTTCATTTAAAGTGCTGTGAAAGACCTGTATTGGTACAGGAGGCTGAGGAATAAACACAGGCCCCAAAGTTAAGACTTTCTCCACCAAATACCACAGAAGTGACAAGCTATATCGCTACATATCCATCATTCAGATCAGCCTAACAACAACATCTCTCACCATCTAGGGAAATGCATCATTATCACTCTCAGATGCTTTAGTTTATACTCCTTATACCAGTACAAATGATTATCATGATTATCAATTCTTAACCATTTTATGGCTGATTCATATGAATTTGTACTCATTTGTAAGTTTTCGAACAATCTGCTCATGCCTTAAAGGCGCAGTGTGTATATTTAGGAGGATCTGTTGACAGAAATGCAATATCATATAGCCTACATAACTATGTTTTCAGTGTTGTATAAAGACCTTACATAATGTTTGTATTACCTCAGAATGAGGCGTTTCTCTCTACACACACCGCGGGCCCGCTTACATCAACATGTTTCTACGGTGGCCCTGAGCGGACACATGCGTTTCGTCACTATGTTGTTCTTCATGATAAGAAGCTGCTGAATTCAGCGAATAAAACACTGACACAATGATGAACAAGTAACAATAATATTCGCAATAACATATAGTTTTACTGAATAATAAAGTAAACCTAAAGGATTAGTTCACCTCAAAATGAAAATGTCCTGATAATTTACTCACATCCAAGATGTTCATATCTTTCTTTCTTGAGTGGAAAAGAAATTAAGTTTTTTGAGGAAAACATTTCAGGATTTTTCTCCACACAATGGACTTTAACGGTAACAAAATAGTTGAAGTCCAAATCAATGCAGTTTCAAAGGGTTTTGAAGAGCTTCACACGGCTCTGCACGATCCCAGCTGAGGAACAGGGTCTTATCTAGCCAAACCATCGGCCATTTTCTAAAAAAAAAAAAACATGTATATACTTTTTAACCACGATTTTTCATCTTGTGCTGGTCTGCGACGCGCCAGGCATTACGTCATCACGGTGGAAAGGTCACGCTGGACGTAGACGGAAGTACAGCCCCATTGTTTTAAATACCAGGATACGCACACGAAAGGACCATTTTAAACAACAAACTGACACAAAGACATAAACATGTCATTCAACATACAATAAAATTTTAACGATCCTCCTTCTCCACGCTTGGAAACAATGGGGCGATACTTCCGCCTACGTCCAGCGTGACCTTGCAATGTACACTCGAATTCAGAGAGGATTGTGGGTAAAAGTAGTGAACGAATGTAGGGATTAGGGAATGATGTCGTCGTTCACTCAGAATTCGGACACCACTACAAAATGGCCGAGTATATATATACATATATATACACTCACCGGCCACTTTATTAGGTACACCTGTCCAACTGCTCGTTAACACTTAATTTCTAAGCAGCCAATCACATGGCGGCAACTCAGTGCATTTAGGCATGTAGACATGGTCAAGACAATCTCCTGCAGTTCAAACCGAGCATCAGTATGGGGAAGAAAGTTGATTTGAGTGACTTTGAACGTGGCATGATTGTTGGTGCCAGAAGGGCTGGTCTGAGTATTTCAGAAACTGCTAATCTACTGGGATTTTCACGCACAACCATCTCTAGGGTTTACAGAGAATGGTCCGAAAAAGAAAAAACATCCAGTGAGCGGCAGTTCTGTGGGCGGAAATGCCTTGTTGATGCCAGAGGTCAGAGGAGAATGGCCAGACTGGTTCGAGCTGATAGAAGGGCAACAGTGACTGAAATAACCACTCGTTACAACCGAGGTATGCAGCAAAGCATTTGTGAAGCCACAACACGCACAACCTTGAGGCGGATGGGCTACAACAGCAGAAGACTCCACCGGGTACCACTCATCTCCACTACAAATAGGAAAAAGAGGCTACAATTTGCAAGAGCTCACCAAAATTGAACAGTTGAAGACTGGAAAAATGTTGCCTGGTCTGATGAGTCTCGATTTCTGTTGAGACATTCAGATGTTAGAGTCAGAATTTGGCGTAAACAGAATGAGAACATGGAACCATCATGCCTTGTTACCACTGTGCAGGCTGGTGGTGGTGGTGTAATGGTGTGGGGGATGTTTTCCTGGCACACTTTAGGCCCCTTAGTGCCAATTGGGCATCGTTTAAATGCCACGGCCTACCTGAGCATTGTTTCTGACCATGTCCATCCCTTTATGGCCACCATGTACCCATCCTCTGATGGCTACTTCCACCATGTCACAAAGCTCTAATCATTTCAAATTGGTTTCTTGAACATGACAATGAGTTCACTGTACTAAAATGGCCTCCACAGTCACCAGATCTCAACCCAATAGAGCATCTTTGGGATGTGGTGGAACGGGAGATTCGCATCATGGATGTGCAGCCGACAAATCTGCGGCAACTGTGTGATGCCATCATGTCAATATGGACCAAACTCCCTGAGGAATACTTCCAGCACCTTGTTGAATCTATGCCACGAAGAATTGAGGCAGTTCTGAAGGCAAAAGGGGGTCCAACCCGTTACTAGCATGGGGTACCTAATAAAGTGGCCGGTGAGTGTATATATATGTGTGTGTGTGTGTGTGTGTGTGTGTGTGTGTGTGTGTGTGTGTGTGTGTGTGTGTGTGTGTTCTGTCAATCGATTAAAAAAATTAAGGGTGCTTTCACACCTGGATCGATTTGTTTTGTTCCGGAACAGATCCGAAACAGAATACTTTGTTCCGAATCAATTTAATACGTCACTCTGTTCACACCACACTGTTGTAAAGCGGTCCAAATCGCGCACCCTTCCAGGGCTTTCCTTACGCCATTACGTCACTACCTCATATTGAGGGAAATCGCCATGACAACAGTAGCCTAACACAAAATGAATCAAGGGTTGACTTGGTGCTACGAAGAGGTGAAATTCCTCATAGATATTTGGTCGGAAGAACACATCTCCCGGATGTTGGACACTACACACAAGAACACCGAAGTGTACAAGAAGACAGTTTAACGCGTTAAACTGTCTTCCAGCCACTTCTGCTGGCATTTGCACCTTCCCATTTTTCTGGTCTAGTTTTATGGTTATTCCCGGTTATTCCCCTAGAGTTATTCCTGCTGTACAAAATGTCCGCGTCATCTTCGCATCACGGCAATTTTGCTCCGGCCGGAAGCAAACACGATCACCGACGAAACTGGTTCCGCCCGTTTATCACACTAACGTATATTTTGCGACAGCAAATAAAAATGATTGATTATGAAGGCTATATTCAAATAAATTGATAGTATAAACTTCTTCAAAACTAATATATATATATATATATATATATATATATATATATATATATACATTTTAAAGCCTGTAGGATTAAAATGCAATGCTTTTTAATGCCCCGCGGAAACCTGTGTAAATCTCTTTACTTGCATCGCTGAAACTGTGCAAGTAAAACGAGTTTGCCGTCTTGGATTCCCTCTGGTTCTCACTACAGCTGCACACTGTTCAGACCGGTTCAGACGCGTGTTGCACAACAGGAGTGACATTTACACGTCCCCCCAGGCTCGGATATATCCGTAAGATATTTATTATTTCCTGCGTTACAACATCAACAAACACCCACAGCTGCAACACGTCAGACACAAGACTGTCCACAGCAACAAACATGTTATTATCATACAACCAAAATATGTGCCAGAATATTATTACTACTACAAAGTGAAGAGTGGAAAAGCTGCAGCATCCATGCGTTTATGAACGCATCCCAGGATGAAGAGAACGAACATGTTTTAAAGGGGCCGAAACATCGTATATTTATCGGGGGGTAACAATATATCGTGTCACAATATATCGCAATACAAAAATGCAATAATCTGTATTGTGGATAGTTCACCAAATATAAAAATTACTGTACGTGAAAAAATTCAGGTTTTCAGAGTTGTAGTGTCAGTACTGGATTAAACTGATATAATGTTGAATATAATGTATATGTGTGTGTGAATGTGAATGTGTGTGTGTGCTGATAATGCCGGATGTCTGATGTTACCAGTAAAAGTGGCCGACATTATTATAAATATATCTAGTCAGTGACAGAGATCAAGCATATTCATCTACAATAATTCAGTGTTTTCATCTTCAGAATCATGAATATTGTTATTCTGGAGTCTCTATTGTCCTGTGCTTTGGGTTTCAGCACCGAGACCAAGAATATTCATTCACACACAATGTAATATCACATTTAGCATTTTAATCAACTACATTTTTTACCATACCTTTGGAGTATGGCAATAATATCGTATCGTGAGTTCAGAATCGTGACATGAGGGAATCGGTACACCCCTATTATTTTAGACAGAATTATTGCACTTCATCTGTTTTATGATTCATTGATGCTCAAATCCGCTGTGGATTATGCCTTTGGATTTCATGGGTTGGCTTGGACAGTTGTCGTGTTGTGAGGTCAGCTGACAGGAAGGGGCTGTGGTATAATTGTGTGTTACACCGCAGGAGGTTTATGAGTGTATTCTCCATTCTCTGCGTGTTTAAAGAGGAACCCGTGTATGCTGACGGGTTTATCAGCTCGTCACTTTCGTTGGGCCACAGATGAGCTAAAAGCAAGCAAGATTGTAAACAAGGTTGTGTCGTCGCCTTAACAACCGATATTTAAATATTATGATGCAATATTTAGTCCTACATCTGCACATGCTCTGTGTGATTGTTTTCATAGCCAAAGACAGCAACGCTGGATGTTCAAATATACAAATAACAACTGTATGTTGTTAAAAAAAATATGTTGAAACTTTACTCGCCTTAAAGTCCAGATAGATGAAATACAATCCATTACTCCTGAATCTGTGTTCTGTCATATAAGAGTCTCAAGACAAACTGGGTCATTAGGGTGATCGACTATTTTTGTATTTACTTCATTTGAGGAACATATGAATAATACATTACACACATTATAACACATTAAAAATGCAAAATGAAAAGCATTTGGATTACATTACAGCTCCTGACAAAGAGACTGTGCTGAACGAGTTGGAGAATATAGCAGATTTCATTCATATTTTTTCTCATATCTTGACTTTAAGAAATATGTGACACATAAAAATTACAGATAAATGTAACTTGGACTACTGTCAAATCACTTAAACGCAATTAATCACATCTAAAATAAAAGTTTGTAAATACAGTATATATTTGGTGTTATATATATATATATATACTGATGTTCACCAAGGCTGCATTTATTTGATTAATATACAAAAAATCAGTAATATTGTAAAATATTATTCCAGTGTAAATCAGCTGTTTTCTATGTGAATATACAGTAAAGTGTAATTTATTCCTGTGATCAAAGCTGTATTTTCAGCGTCATTACTCCAGTCTTCAGTGTCACATGATCCTTCAGAAATCACTCTAATATGAGGATCTGATGCTCAAGAAACATTTATGATTATTATCAGTGTTGAAAACAGTTGTGTACAATTTTTTTCCCCAGGATTCTTTGATGAATAGAAAGTTTAAAGAACAGTATTTATCTGAAAAAGAAAGCTTTTGTAACAAACACTACCGTTTAACAAGTTTGGGGTCAGTAATATTTTTTTGGGAGGGAAATAAATAAAATAAATCAATACTTTTATTCATCAAGGACGCATTATATTAGTCCAAAGTTACAGAAAAGACATTTATACTTTAAAAAAAGATTCAATTTCAAATAAATGAAATTGAACTTTCTATTAATCAAAGAATCCTGAAAAAAAATTGTCCACAACGGTTTTCAACACTAATAATAATAATCATTCATAAATGTTTCTTGATCATCAGATCATCACATTAGAGTGATTTCTGAAGGATCATGTGACACTGAAGGCTGAACATTCAGCTTTGATCACAGGAATAAATTACACTTTACTATATATTCACATAGAAAACAGCTGATTTACATTATAATAATATTTCACTGTTTTTACTGTATTTTTTGATCAAATAAATGCAGACTTGGTTAGCCAAAGAAGAAAAAATGTGGAATGGTGGTTTGGATATAGCAGCAGAATTACATTTAATAATTTAGCAGAATGATGTATGAATGTCATTTTCAGATGTTGTTGGTCCTGTTTTATATTTGCATAATTACACAGTCAGTGTGTGACCAGTATGAACAGGAATTACTGAGCTTACAATAACAAAGCAACAGTTCAAACAAGTACCATTAACGGTTTATAAAGGTGATGTCTAATGGAAAAATGACACGAACATAGCTTAGAAATAAACTTTGATGTGTTTGTGAAGACTTAAGATTTAGGAGAGTACAGTAGTTACAGTACAGAGGACAGTTTTTCACAGATAGTTATCAAGAGCAGTATGAAGAACATTTATACAGAAATAAGAAAGTGTTTTCACATGGACCTACTGGCTGTGTCTTAAAACCCTAGTGTGCTGCCTATCTAGACATCATTCCAGTATATTACAGGCTCGTTTGGTTTAAAAACACACTGTCTAAGTAGGCAGCTCGCTAGGTTTTGAAACACCGCCTTTGTGTCTAGTGTGGACGTGTTTGATTCATGCATTAGAGGAAAAGACGAGTCGCTTCAAACCTCTACTCACCTCCGCACATCGAAAGTCATTGTGACTGCGCGAATAAAATCAAGTGTGTTATATTATAATTCTGTATTATACACCTTTAACGTGTTTAAAAATAAACGACACAAGTAGTAAAGTGGCTAACTCCAGACTCTTCCTTCAATCCTGCCGGCTGTTCAAACCGGATGTGACATCCGCTTAGGACGCTTTGCACAATCCTATTGGTCGACAGGGAGCGAGCGGCGTGATTCTGTTTCCGGCTTAGGAATAAGTTGTGGTGTGCAAACTTAACGCGTTGCCCATGGAGACAGAGTTCAAACTGCTTTAGCTTCCGCTTATGTGGTCCAACAGTCAAAAACTGTTTCTAGAACAACAACAAAACCGTAAATCTGACGCTGATGTGCTCTTTCTCTTTCAGAGAATAATGGAAACCTTCTGGAATGTTCTGGAAATCTGCTTAACTTGACCTAGAATCTCATAATAATAACCAGGTTTAGAAAATAAGTCCGTTTTATATTACCAAAACAAGTGGTTTAACAATTGTGGTCAAGAACCGGCAGGATTATAAAAGGCAATAATTTTTCACAACAGAAGTTGTGACATATATGACAGATATTCCAGACACACATCAGTGGCTTAAATAGAAGAAATCGCTTATTTCAGAAGCACTGACTAATGTAGGGTTAGGGTTATCCCAACATTACACATATGAAAGGAGAAATATTGGAAATTAATAAGTGTGCCATTCATATATCTTGTGTTTTATACCTGAATTTTGAGGGTTCACATACAATGAATTTCTAATTGACCAATAACTTTTTGTTTGTCATTACTAGATACGTATTTTATAGATATATTACACTCACTTCAAGCCAATGGCTACCTTACAACCAATCAGAATCGAGTATTCATATGAGGGCCTAAAATGAACACTTGCCAAGCACCAAATGCGAGTAAAAATCGCAGTTGGCGAGTGAATGAAACAGTGTCCCTCACCAGTCAGCCAGTAATATTTTTATGAATCCTAACAATGCATGAACGTGAACAAACTTGAACGACACTCAGGCCATCACAAAAGTTTAAGTCTTGCCAATTTAAATATTCAAGCATCCGAAGCGCTCACACAAAAAGCTGCGTCTCAGACCGCTCACGAACACTAAACTGAGCTCGTTCACGTCTTCTTGTGCTTCAGTGACAAATTCACACACAATCATGTAAAAAAATAGCGAGCACATAGTAAACATAGTCGGTTATGTGTTAAGGTAACATAAACAGTTCAGAAAGTAAACGCGTGTGTCAGTATATTAGATCAGTGCATTCACTCTTAAAGTGACAGTAGCCTAATATTCCTGATGAGGTCTGTGTTTATAATGTTAATCACACGACAAAGACAAAGAGACAATCACTCACTGCTCTAGACTGAATAACTTTAATAGCTTTAATAAGAATGTTTAATGTATAAAGTGAAGAATATATAGTTATTTTACATTTGCTTACGTTATTCAATTTCTGTAAAAACCTGAAAAGTATTAGTTATTTAATTTGTATCTTTGTTATATTGTATTTATTTGTGCTGTTGCTTGTAATTTGATTATTTGTTCTTATTTAATTACCGACTGTTTACTTCTGTACGTCTACTTATTTACTTCTTGTCTTTAATAATGTTTTACATTTATATTTAGTTTTAGGTATTGGAATTGGAAGAGAGGATTGCGAATTTTCATTGGTATCTGTTTTTGCAAAAACAGTTTCATGGCCAGTAAAAATGATTTATGCCTGTGGCAGAAAGCTAGTTTTAGGTCCTGTGCACATACATTCCCACGATCTTATATTTGCATATAGTGGTTTTGAATGATGAGATGCTTGAATCATGTAGTGTTTCACTATGTCATATCTGGGCACATTCTAGAAATGAGAAATTTGTAAAAATGTCTGCCAGACATACAGAATCTGCAAAAATTACCGATTTATGGTTAAAGCAAACTAAAATAATGCAAGTATTTTCCCATGGTGCCCGGAGGCAGCTCTGTCCGTAAATGTGATGACATTGTATACATTTGCTACACCAAGGAAATGCCTAATTCATCACACTCTTTCACTTCCCTTTCTAACAAACAGAACATGCAAATGTGACTACTCACTGAAGTGTGTGTTTTATATGATTTGTTGCACGTTTTTGAGATGTGTGCGTCATGTTTATTTTTTGATTAATTCAGCATCATTCTTTCTTGTTTATTTGTCTTTTTGTGGGCAGATCGTAAATACAAATTCAGATGGTTTTGGAATTGTATAATTTTCAGCCTAAGATATAATTGTTTTTTTTTTAACAAATAATTGATTGTGTTATTATTAAGTGCCATTCTCACACATGCAGTACACAGTGTTCTTCTTGTGGCTTGCATTTCTCTGCTGACTCATCCGTGTTTTAACAGTAAAACGGTTTCTTACTGCTTTTTTCTGTATGACAGACCCAGAAATGATTTGGAGAGGAAACCTCCAAGAGTCCTGACTCAAGTTTCAGAAATGCAATCCTGACGTCATGACCCACATATGTAGTTTTCTTGTGAGCCTGTCACATCAAAATATTATCAAATGAAATTTCTAGAAGGATCACAAAACTTCTTTGGACATTTTTCCCAGCTGGAAGTAATATAAATAAATGTAAGACCAAACAAAAAAAAAATTGTAAACTATAATGTTTGATTTCATATTAAGTAACATAGCTGTGACAAATGAATTATTTTTATAAATAAAACCTGTATTTTAAAGGACTGACAAGTATTTGATTTGCATTGGGGAAAAAAGTCTTAATTGCTTCCAGTCAACAAACACTGCACTACTTATGAAAAATATATATAAATATAAAACATTTTCTCTCTCTATTCCACTGTTGTGAGGAAAACCAGAAATACAAAACATCAAATTACAGAGAAAAAAAATAAAAGTTTTCAATAGGCTACATCTTTGACTTTTAGGTCAAAATATGTGTATTGTCTTAATAATATAGATCTCTCACACCACGGCCACATCCATACACCTGAGCCTGGTTTGTTTTTCAATGGAAATTTACCAGACCTCAAGTTTCTATACAGTGATTAACTTTTATGGTTTGCCTTTGCTCTCGCGGCATTGCACACCATGTACTCCTGTACAATAAAAACAAAGTATAAACTTTTATGAGTACAATGACAGGTTCACTAATTATCTTGTTATTCGTCTGAACTGAAGAGGAAAGTTTTTGATAATATTTTAAATCACAACAATAATATCATGGAAAAATTCTAAACATTTCTTCCTTTTTGACAAGTGTCAGTGTAATTTCATACATGGTGAGATGATCATATTAGTTACTAGCCTGCATAGTATATAACGAGATAAAAATGAGTTATACTTAGTCATGCTTTTCACCAGAGAAACACAATATGATCTCAAACATTTTTTATTATTGATATATAGTGTGAATACCAGCATAGCTTATATTCGACATGTGTGCATAATCCTTTCTTATTAAAAATCAGCATTAAATGTATCCTGTTTTTTTTTTTTGTGTGTGTGTGGGAAAAATCCTTTCTTTTGTAACCTGTAGTAAATATTTAAAATGACATAGCGTGAAAAAGGCAAAGCCATTTGGAACACGATTTAAAACAAAATCATTGACAAATAGTTAAAAACTGGAACTGACACGACACGAGAGGGAACTACTAAATCTGCCAAGACAGCAACATTGGCCAATGCTGATAATGACAAACATCGAGCTGGCTGATAAATAGGTCGAAGATCAACTATTTTAACACTCAAAACCCCCATCCCAACAACAACATTAATAATCATCATCATAATCACTAACACTCAAACTCGGAAACGGGAGTAGATTAGCAGTGTCTTTCGGTTTGTTAGAGGTCGACCGGCTCTGACAGGATTAGATAAACCATAGAGATAAACGCTCACTAACGTACGTGCGAAATATGGCTCTGGGCGGGCCGTGAGCCAAGAGGGGCGGAGCCTCGACGTCACGTACTCGCCGGGAGCGAGCTCAATATATAACCGTCGCTCAGCGCCTTTCAAATCAGATTCAGAACAAGGAGAAACAACTGCGAGTTGTCCGGTGAGAACTAACTTACGGACTATTTTTGGATCAAAATCTCGATCAAAGGACTTTAAAGAGCGAAGTTTATCGCTGTATGTATTCAGAGCTATCGTTGTTCTCTACTATGGTCATCATGGAAGTGTCCACCATCGACTCGGCCTCGCTTCGGGACCTGCTGGAGGGCGATGATGACCCGGACTGTCTGGTTCTGGACTGCCGCTCGTTCTTCTCCTTCAGCTCGTCTCATATCTCGGGCTCCAGTAATGTGCGCTTCAGCACTATAGTGCGCAGGAGAGCCCGAGGAGGTCTGGGGCTCGAGCACATCGTACCCAACGAGGACACCAGGAGCCGGCTTCTGTCCGGGGAATACCAGAGCGTCGTGTTCCTGGATGACCGCAGTCTGGAGATGGGAGAAGTGAAGAAAGACGGGACTTTAATGCTCGCTGTGAACGCGCTCTGTCGCAATCCATGTGGAGCAAGTGTATTCCTTCTTAAAGGTACGAGATATTCTTCTTTGCCTACTAAGTTACTATATTATAGGCTAACTTACACTAAGGAGTGTTCCGGTGCCACATGAGAACCTTTCATTATACAGCTCTTAAAGGGACAGTTCACCCTAAAATGAAAGATCTGTCACTTAAGTTAACGTACTCACCCTCAAGTTGTTCCAAACCTGTAAACGTTTACTCATTCTGCTGAACACAAAAGAAGATATTCTGAAGAATGTTTGTAACCAAACTGTTTTGAGGCACTATTGACTTCCATTGTATGGAGTGACAAAATACAATGGAAGTCAATGGCCCATCAACTGCACGATTAACGTCCCCATATTTCTTTGTGTTCAGCAGAAGAAAGAAAGTCAAACCGGTTTGGAACAACATGATGGTGATTAAATGATGACAGAACTTCATTTTTGCGTGAACTATCTATTGTTTTTATATTGGGAAGAACATTTTAATAATCTAAAGTGTGCATTTGAAAAGTTTCCATCGAAGTTTCTCAATGGAATCATAGATTTCAACAAACCAGATTGTTTAACCAATTAACACACAAGCTGAGCTTGTCTTCATGTTTATTTATTTAAGTTGTGACCAAATGTTTTCTTCAGCTGTTGTCACTTGTAAATCCCACTTTTACTCAAACAAGCTCTGTTTTACCATCGATAGGTGGATTCGACACGTTTTCCTCTGAGTTTCCTGAAATGTGTACGAAGCCAGTTCCCCCCCAAGGCTTGAGTTTACCCCTGAGCTCCAGCTGCCGTCCCAACACCGCAGACTCCTCCTGCACAACCCCTCTATACGACCAGGTAATCACTACTGACTCTTTTGTTAAATGAGCACATGTGTGGTAAATAACTACACCTCGTCATGATCAAACCAGTCCGCTGACTTTCTTGTTTGTTTATTTTTTCAGGGCGGCCCTGTGGAAATTTTGCCATTCCTATATTTAGGCAGTGCTTATCACGCCTCCAGAAAAGACATGCTGGACATGTTGGGAATCACAGCCCTCATCAACGTCTCTTCAAACTGCCCCAACCACTTTGAAGACCACTATCAGTACAAGAGTATCCCTGTTGAGGACAACCATAAAGCCAACATCAGCTCCTGGTTCAATGAGGCCATCGAATTTATCGGTGAGTGTCGTTTTTCGTCATGAAATGGGGAACAGATGTCCCCATATGACGAGCTCTGGCAGGCAGGCAGACCCAACCCCCATTCCCAATTGAGTTTTTCAAAACTTCCCTCCAAATCGACCAGCTGTACGTCCCGGGCCTGACAGGCTTACGTCACCCTGTTTAAAGAGGAGCCCCCTTTTCAAATAACACCAGGCCGTGACCTGATCCTTTCATGGGGCAACTGGCTCCGTCTAAATGCCTTGCATCCTTTGTTTAGCCGGAACAAAAGGTAGTGTGTCTGTTGCCCTCCTATCAGATAAGTGCGCTTCGCAGGGGTGCCGAAACCCCCCCATTGTGTGTATTCAGGCCTGTCTAAGGGGGGTGTTTCCCCTCTCACTCGAACCCCTGCCTGCTTTAGCTCTCCCGTTTCCTTAACGGGACGGCATCCGTCATTAGCCGTCCTGCAGAGGCTCATTTGCAATTGAATGAGTGGTTTGGGAATCAAAGCAGGGTTCGTACCATGTGCTTAAAGTGCTGGAGTTAGAGCTTTTTTAAATGTAAGTCCTGGAAAACACTTGAAAACAGGCATATTTATGAATAAGTACTTGAGAAGTGCTTGAAATATTGAAAAAAATATGTATATACATACGAAAAAACAGGCATATTTATAAAAAAGTACTTGAAAAGTGTTTGAATTATTGAAAGACAATATATACATATTTATGAATAAGTACTTAAAGTGCTTTAATTACTGAAAAAAGATGTATATATAAATATGTCTGTTTTCATATGTATACATGTATATATTGTCTTTTAATAATTCAAGCACTTCTCAAGTACTTATTCATAAATATGCACTTGAAAAGTGTTTGAATTATTGAAAGACAATATATAAATATTTATGAATAAGTACTTGAGAAGTGCTTGAATTATTAAAAGACAATATATACATATGAAAACAGACATATTTATAAATAAGTGCTTGAATTATTGAAAAAAATATATATACATACGAAAAAACAGGCATATTTATGAATAAGTACTTAAATATTGAAAAAAATATGTATATACATATGAAAAAACAGGCATATTTATAAAAAAGTACTTGAAAAGTGTTTGAATCATTGAAAGACAATATATACATATTTATGAATAAGTACTTAAAGTGCTTGAATTATTGAAAAAAATATGTATATATAAATGTCTGTTTTCATATGTTGTATATATTGTCTTTTAATAATTCAAGCACTTTTCAAGTACTTATTCATAAATATGTATATATTGTCTTTCAATAAATCAAACACTTTTCAAGTACTTTTTTATAAATATGCACTTGAAAAGTGTTTGAATTATTGAAAGACAATATATACATATGAAATGAGTGTTTAAGGGTACTTTAATTTGACTTTTTGAACCGTTAGTCCTGGGAAACCCTTGCAAACAGCCATATTTATGAAGAGCTACTTAAAAAGTGCTTGAATTATTTAAACGCATTTAATTTTATCGGAAAAAACGCGAAATTAAACCCAGCAGCCCGTCTGATGATCCCCCATCAGACCGTTTCTCGACACGAAGTACGCCAGCAATTATAATATAAAATATTATTTATTGAACAATAATAGCCATTATAAACTTTACATCTTTAGGTTATTGTTTGATAAGTGCGATCTCTGATTGGAGTTCTTGAAATCCTAAAAAAGTAGTGCTTGAAAAGTCCTTCCACAGTATCCTGATAGCTGCACGGCGTTTAACCGAGACTCTTGTTTGTTTCCCACAGATTCGGTGCGTAATAAAGGCGGGCGCGTGTTCGTCCACTGCCAGGCGGGCATCTCCCGCTCCGCCACCATCTGCCTGGCGTATCTGATGCGCACCAACCGCGTCCGGCTGGAGGAGGCCTTCGAGTTCGTCAAGCAGCGGCGCAGCATCATCTCGCCCAACTTCAGCTTCATGGGGCAGCTCCTGCAGTTCGAGTCGCAGGTGCTGGCGTCCTCCAGCTGCTCCGCGGCCGCGGGGAGCCCTGCCATCGGCAAGAGCAACACCGTGTTCAACTTCCCCGTGCACGCGGCGGCCAGTCCTCTCTCGTTCCTGCAGAGCCCCATCACGACCTCGCCCTCCTGCTGACACGCGC